GTAGTTGGTGATTGGAAGTATTTAACAAAGGAACCTGGATGATTTCCACGGTTTATGGTAGTAAGGAAGTAGTGAAAAGGAAGGAATTATGGGATTGCCTTCATGAAGCATCTCATAGGAAGGTTCCATCGGTGATTGGAGGAGACTTTAACTGTATCCTGGGCCAAGAGGATAAAAAAGGTGGAAGGAAGTATATTTTCTATCAAGGCTCAAAAGATATGATAAATTTCATGAATCTCAATGATTTTCATGAAATTGGAGTGATTGGTCCAAGACATACTTGGTGTAATAACAAAAGTGGAGGAGCAAGAATTTTAGAGAGACTGGATAGATGTCTGTTGAACTCATACGCTTTGGAAAAAATTCAAATGTCGGTTGAAAGGCATATTGCTAGAATAGCATCTGACCATTGCCCGGTTATCCTTAAAATATTTTAGCCGGTTGAGAAGAAAAAGAAGATTTTAAAGTTTGAAGATGTATGGGTGTCCTTTCATGCTTCTTCATGTATTATTTCAAGAGTTTGGAGAAAATCCTTTATGGGAGATGAAATGCAAATTTTAAATAGTAAATGCAAAAGAACTTTGAAGGAGTTATTCTTTTGGAGCAAAGCAAAGATGAAAGATTTCATAATTCTTAAAGATGAGTAGAAAAAAGATATTCTGAAAATACAAGAAGAGGAGGCGGTAGAAGGTGGGTTAAGTGAAGAAAGGCAAAAAACATTGAGAAGAAAGGTGGGAGAGCTTAATGTTCATCTTGCTAGATTAAATACATGGTGGGGGCAAAGAGCCAAGGTAAAGTAAATAGAATAAGGAGATTCTAAATTCCAAATACTTTCATGCATTTGCAAATGCAAGGAGAAATAGCAATCGGATCAACCATGTTAAAGGAGCTAATAGGGTCTTGGTGGATGACCCGAAGGAGATTGAAGACATTTTTCTAAAATTCTTCAAAGCAAAATGGAGTAGGGAATGTTCCCTACTGAATTGGCCGGCTGCTGCTAGTGTGTTGGATGATGAAGATAGAATATCACTGAATGCAAATTTTACCACTCAAAAATTCTGAATGTAATCAAGAATTTGGGTGAGAATGTAGCACCAGGTTATGATGGTATAACCTATTCTTTCTTCAAGTTTTATTGGAGTATAGTGGGAGATGATGTATGCAAGGCAATAAATAAATTCCTTTCTTCGGGTAAGCTCTATGAAGAATGGAAAGAGACATTGGTTGTTCTGATTCCAAAGGTCAAAAATCCGGTGTCTCCTTCAGGATATAGACCTATAAGCCTTTGCAACTCCATTTACAAAATTGCAGCTAAAGTACTATTGGATAGGATGCTTTTGGTAACATTCTTCTCTTCTCGGATGCAAAATTGAGGAACATCAATGTATTGAAGAGGTTGATTCATAACTATTGCATTTGGACCGGTCAGAAGGTAAATCTCCAAAAATCCTCTATTCTAATGGGGAAGAACATTGGGAGAAGAAGGAAGAAACGGATTGCTAAAATACTCAACATGAAAGTGGTTGATGAAATGGAGTATTTGGGTATTAAAATAGCTTTAAGAAGATTGAGAAAAACAGATTTTCAAAATCTATTGGATAAAGCTTCTAAAAAGCTCAATGTTTGGGGAAATAGATTTATCTCATTGGCGGGAAGAATAACATTGTTAAAAAATGTTTTTCTTACTCTTCCTTTATTTGCTTCTTCTCACTCCTTAGTTCCTTTGAACATTTTAAAAGAGTTTGACAAGGCATGTAGGAATTATTTGTGGAATAAACATGATGTGTCACATGAATTTCATTATGTGGCATGGGATACTTTATGTAAACCAAAAGAGTATGGAGGCTAGGGTTTTTTTTCAGCTGTCTCTAGAGTGTGTTCTCTTAGAGCTAGATTTGCTTGGAACCTACTTGATAATCCAAACTCTTTGCTCAATAGGAATATCAGGGATAAGTAAGGTACTTGCTGGTGGATGAATGAGGGGAGGAAATGTTCTTCAAATACATGGAAGATTTTGATGGATGGATGGAGTTCTCTTAAGGGGATCTTAAGATGGAGCATAGCCAATGGATCACTGATTGATATTCAGAAGGATGTATGGATACTTGATAAGAGTCTTGATAGATGGCCAACATTTGTAACCAATTGGGAAGAAGATAATGTAAATCTCAACTCTATTATAGTTAATAGAGCTTGGGATGTACCAAAGCTGTCCCATTTTTTTGGGGAAGAACTCATAAACCTGATCACTAAAGTGGATATTCTACAGAACTTGGAGGAAGACAGGTTGGATCTTAAATTCAAGCTATCTGGCAAATCAGTTTCAGGTCTATCCTATGCAGCCCGGTTTTCTGATATGATGCAAGCAGAGATGTATCATTGGTTTTTCAAACTGAAGCTCAATCCAAGAGTTGAAGTGTTTGTATGAAGATTATGTATGAATGCAATTCCAACTTCAGATTTTCTGTTTTCTAGAAGACTGGCTGGTTCAAATCTTTGCCCAAGAGGTTGTATAGAGGTGGAGAATATTGACCATTGCACAGCAACTTGTCCGAAATTGCTACAGGCTATTAGACCACTGAATTCTTGGGGATTTCCTGTTCCTTGCTTCAGAACTTTCTCGGAGTGCTTGAACAAACTAAAGGAAATAGCGGTAAAAGATATTTTCTTGCCTAGAATGTACTTTATTTTGCTTTTTCATTCATGGTTGAATAGAAATAAAGCAAAAAATGGAGATGTGGAAGGAAGTAATGTCACTATTGCCTCTAGAGTCATAAGTTTTATGGCTTCTTCTCATAAGGGCAATATCATATTGGGCAACTAGGGTACTAATCAGTCTTCTCGACTGTTCAATCTTTGGTACCCTCCACCCAATTGGTTGAAAATAAATATTGATGGATCATTATGCAAGTCTAGCAAAGCTGGAATTGGAGGAGTTATAAGAGATTGCAAAGGCAGGTTTTTGATGGCTTTTGGATGTGGATATGTTCATTGGGACAATGCACAGGTTGAGCTATTGGCTTTTAAATCCTTGAGAAATTTTATTCAAAATTGGATGCTTGAGGCTAATGGTATCATTATAGAGGGTGATAACTTAAATGTTATCAAATTTCTCCATAAGTTGTACAGCACACCGGAGAAGAGGAGGAAAGATCCAATAAATGAAGACCTTCTTTTCATGAAGAATTTCAGCAATGTTACTTTTAATTTTGTGAATAGACATTGTAATAAGTTAGCTAATTATTGTGCTAACTTAGCATGTGAGTACAACTTTTGGGATGTAATTAGTGATAATAATATTCCTCCTTCATTTGTTCTTTTATTGAAGGAGGAATGTGATAGATTGCTTTGATGTAATAGTTTCTTTCTAGGTATCTCAATGCAATTTAGCATTTCTTCTCAAAAAAAAAATTTTTTTGAAGCTTCTTGAACAACCACCATCAATTTGAGAGCGAAATGTGGGAGTTTATCAATTAGATATGTGCTATAATTTATATAATATTGTTTTGTGATTAAGGCTAAAGAATCTATGTAACTAAGTAGTATTAAAATTTAGCATTTGAATCATACCAACTATTTTAGACATAATGATGACAACTCGCCATATGAGGGCAAGTAGTCCAACTGACAAGTGTGTGTGCGTGCACACAAGTAGATAGATTATTATCCTTTAAGGTGAAAGTCACTTTTCTGTAAAATTTTATTTTAACTTTTTTTTAATCATTCTACATCAATTGGAAAATTGTAACTATTCATAGCGATTTACAAAATGAAAAATGGAAGGATGCAAAATTATATCAATTTTCAAGATGATTTAATCATTCATAAACAATATAAATGTAAGACCCCAATAAATGATCAATATAGTGAGATAAATATAGTAATTTTAGAGATCAGTACTCAAACCATATGAAATTTTTTGTCATCTACAACCACTGGAACAACTTCAAGGGTTTTGATTTCAAAAAATCATAAGAGCAGTATGTATCTTTGGTGATGAACATTACTAGTTGTTAATTTTTCATCAAATTTATAAATGATCAAATCATCATAAGAAAGTGATATTATAATTAGATTGTAGACTCTTCAATACATTTAAGTTAAAATTTGAAGGTGATAGCATCAATAATAACTAATCGAATGGAGATAAATATTTTTCATAGAAATAGATGGTAGTTTATATATATACACTAGCAAACAAATACTGTAAAAACTAGCATGATGCTAAATTTTCTAAAAAATTCTGAAATTTTAAAGACGATCGTTTATCAAGCTCATAAAAGCAACACCCAAAGAGATGATCTAGATAATGATAAATGATTAATTTATTTCATAGAGTACTCAAATGAAATGAAAATTTTTAAGAGTGCATAAAAATACATCTGGAATAATTTTAATGGATTTTATTTAAAAAAAAATTAGTGGGGGCACTTTAGTTATGATTATGGTCCACCTATTTCTTCAAACTTGATCAATGACAAAATCTTAATCTTACATTTGCTGGTAGTACCGTGTAAGACTAATTGTGTGGAAAATAAATTTATATAGACTAGTGAGCAAAGAAATAAAAAATTGAACAACAGTAAAAGTCGAAAACGAAATTGGCTTGCATAATTAATATTGTTCAAATGGCATGGATTTTGTCCAAAGTTGAATGACATGTTTGAGGGTTGTCAAAGAAGTGATGATCTTTATAAAATAAACTAAAACTTTAGATGCCTTTACTGTATCCCGTGCATTCAACCCTCTAAGCATTTCAATGGTTCAAATCATCATATCAAAGACTTAAAAAGTAGTCAATTTTCCACATGTTTAAAAAATAGCAAAGGGAGTAAGTTCATTGTGTAAGATCAACCAACCTGTAATTGCACTGTCAATTTTCACACTGAAACACGGTCATTAGAGCAATAACAATAATTGATATTTAAGGACAAAAAAAAAATATTCAGCTATGAACATCGGTGTAATCAAGGTTCATACTAACTGATTAGTAGACTCACCTCTCCTTGATGAGCAATCACAGAATGAGTTGGCTTATTAGCAGTTGGGGAACGCAAATCCCATATAAGCAAATGTTGATCATCACCAACAGAGCCGAACAAGTACTCGTGTCTCAAATGCCAAGCAACATCTTCAACAACGCCATCATGGACCTGCTTTTATCAAAAAACGAACTTTTAGCAATACTATTGATGTTATTTTGCAAACTTCCAGTTAGTTTGCATATAACTGAATTTGAGTTCTTGATGCTAAATAATTCTTATAATAATCAACAAAATAGCATCCATATAGCATTTTAATTTCATTTATTGGCAATATTATCCATACAAATACTCTAGGATTCTTGATTAGGATTGCTTGTACCAAACATTAAAGTAGTACAAATTTCATGAATCCTCATGCTGAAAGGGATCAACGGCATATCACATGAAAATGGATTTAACAAGTTCATGAATAATTCAAGTACCAAAGGAAAAACATGAAAACTAGAATCCAAAAACTTAGGATTATATTAGTTGCTAAAATGTAGAAAGCTTTAAATTGTGCAATTGAATATTGAGGCATTTTTTGTTCATGGGTCAGTCGTAAACTACAAGGAGTTTTCAGGCGTAAGCCTCACATTTGAAAAATTGTCAACAACAACAACAACATCAAGCCTTCATCCCACTACGTGGGGTCGGCTACATGAATCCTTTTTCTCCATTGTGTCCTATTAAAAGTCAAATTCTCGTTTAAATCTAATAAAGAAAGGTCATTCCTAATATTTTCTAACCAAGTCTTTTTAGGTCTACCCCTACCTTTCTTAACATAAGTCAAATCTAATACCTCTACTCTCCTAACCGGGTCATCACAAGGCCTCTGTTTTATGTGACCAAACCATCTAAGACGACTGTCTATTACTACTAAAATTACACTCCATATATTTCGTTTTAGATCTACTCAAGCGAAAATCTTTAGACTCTAAGGTTGACCTCCATAATTCAAGTTTACCTTCAACTCCCTCTCTAGTCTTATCAACAAGAAGAATATCATCAGCAAAAAGCATACACCAAGGTACATCCTCTTGCAAATGTCTAGTGAGAACATCCATGACTAAAGCAAAAAGATATGGGCTTAAGGCTGATCCTTGATGTAACCCAACCGAAATAGTAAAATACTTGGTCAATCCACCTTGTGTTTGAACACAAGTAATAGCTCCTGCATACATATCTTTAATGATTTGAATATAAGCATTATTGACTCCTTTCTTTTCAAGAACTCTCCATAGCACTTCTCTTGGAACTTTATCATATGCTTTTTCTAAATCAATAAATATCATATGTAGATCCTCCTTATTTTCTCTATATTTCTCCATCAAACCTCTTAATAAATGTATGGCTTCCATAGTCGACCTACCCGGCATGAATCCAAATTGATTTTGAGAAACATCAGTATCTTGCTGCAACCTATGCTCCATAACTCGCTCCCATAGTTTTAAAGTATGACACATTAACTTAATACCTATATAATTCGTATAATCTTGTGCATCACCTTTATTCTTAAAAATATGAATTAACACACTCATTCTCCACTCATCTGGCATCTTTTTAGTCTTCAAAATAGTATTAAAAAGTTTAGTAAGCCAAGAAATTCTTTCATCTCCTAAGCATTTCCACACCTCTATTGGAATATCATCAGGTCCAACAGCTTTTCCACCCTTCATTTTCTTTAAAGCCTCTCTAACTTCAGTTTTACTAATACGCCGATAAAAACATAAATCTTTATTTTCATTTAGGGTGCTAAGATCACTATAGTCAATCTTATTTTCACAATCTTCATTAAAAAGTTTAGCAAAATATCTCATCCACCTTTATTGAATATCATCTTCTAAAAAAGTATTTTTTGATCTTCATCCTTAATACACTTCACTTGAACTAAATTCTTACTACTCCTATCTCTTTGTTTGGCTAACTTATACATATATCTTTCTCCCTCTTTAATATCTAATCTATTATATAAATCACTAAAAGCTAATGTCTTTGCATGGCATATTGCTTTCTTAGTATCCTTACGAGCCACTTTATATATTTCCCAATTATCAAAATTTTTAAAATTAAACTAATTTTTATAACAAAACTTTTTATTTTTAATCTTTTCTTGCACGTTTGGATTTCACCACCAACTATTTTTATTATTATGAGCTTTTCCCTTTGATACTCCAAGAACATTTTTTGCAATATTCTTAATATCACTAGCCACTTTTTCCCACATAGCATTGGCATCCTCATGCACAAACAAAATCTTAAAATCTAAAATCTTAACAATGTCGTTGCCAGGTCCCAAGTCCTGGATGAGAAAAGTGGAGGGTTGTGTTAGATAGTCGACAGCCAACATAAAACTTATCGAACAATAATGATATGAATCCTTTTAAAAAATTGTGTTAATGCTAGGGCGTCCCCTGGAAGCGACGCGCTGTATGGCCTGAATACAGTGACAAGTGTGCAAGGGCTGCTGCACCGGCGCCCGGGTGCAGTGTTAAATAGGAAAGGGTTCCCACATCAAGGACGGATGTGAGCAAAGAAGCTAATCCATGAAACTAAAATTAGGATAGGAACTTGGATTATAGGTTCCCTTACAGGAAAATTAATTGAATTAATATATATTATGATTCATAGGAAGTTAAATATTTTGTGCATTCAGGAAACTAAATGGGTTGGAGAGAAGGCTAAGGAAATTGATAGTTTAGGATTTAAACTTTGATATTCGGGTAGGAGTCATACTAGAAATGGTGTATGCGTTATTATAGATAAGAGTTTAAAGGATAATATTATAAAAATTAATATGATTGGAGATAGAATTATAGCTGTAAAGATTGTTGTTGAAAAATTGTGTAAAGTGAAAATAAAAGTTAGATTTTTTTTTTAGCATCATAACCAAATAATATATTAAAAAGACGACATATTTGTATTCTACTATACTATGAAGTAATAAATTGGCATAAATACGAAACTAAAATTTAAAAAGATGTAAAATGGCAAGTGATAAATTATGTGAAATAAAATTGATGTGCAAACATGAACATGGCAAAGCATCATAACATAAAAATTCAGTAAAGTAACATGTAACATCAAATTCAACTCGACGTTCCTTCATTCCTAGTTCCATACTCATCACAATAACAATAGTATGACAACAACTCATTACTACTAAAAATACACTCCATGCATTCGGTTTTAAATCTACTCAAATGAAAACCTTTAGAATCTAAAGTTGACCTCCATAATTCAATTTTTTCTTCAACTCCCTCTCTAGTCTTATCAACAAGAAGAACATTATCAGCACAAAGCATATAGCAAGGTACATCCTCTTGCAAATGTCTAGTAAGAGCATGCATGACTAAAGCAAAAAGACATGGGCTAAAAGCTAATCTTTAATGTAATCCAAAGAAAATTAGAAAATACCTTATCAAACCACCTTGTGTTTAAACACAAGTAACAGCTGCTCCATACAAATCCTTGATGACTTGAATATAAGCATTATTAACTCCTTTATCTAGAATACTCTAAAAGTACTTCTATTGGAACTTTATCATATGCTTTCTCTAAATCAATAAATATCATATGTAGATCCTCCTTATTCTATTTATACTTTTCCATCAAACCTCTCAATAAATATATAGCTTCCATAGTAACCTACGTAGCATGAATCCAAATTGATTTTGAGAAACATTAGGATCACGTCGTAACATATGCTCAATTATTCTCTTGCATTAAATTTTAACATATGACACATCAACTTAATTTCTCTATAATTCGCAAACTCTTGTGCATCACCTTTATTATTTAAAAAAGAAACTAACACACTCATTCTCCACTCATCTGGCATTTTTTAGTTTTCAAAATAATATTAAAAAGTTTAGTAAGCCAAGAAATAACTTCATCTCCTAATCATTTCCACACCTCTATTGGAATATCATCAAGTCCAACTATTTTTCCCCACTTCATTTTCTTTAAATTCTCTCTAACTTTGATTTTACTAATACGACGATAACAAGAAAAATCCCTATTTTTATTTAGGATGCCGATGACACTAAATTCAATTGTAAGATATTAAAAAAGAGAAAAAAACCCGCACCTGTAGGAGATAATTTATAGGATTTCATTTGATGGTGGAGTATTTCACCTCATTGAGATATGATTGAAAAGCCATGGTATTTGGTGGTGATGGTGGTGGTTGTGGTGGTGGTTGGGGAGGGGGGTGGAGAAGGCCTAAAGTGGTCATGTTCTAGACGAGCAAATGGAAGAGCAAGGTGCAAGAGACTCCAATGTTGCAGACATAATAATAGAGAGCAAATGTATAAGCTACAATACAGGGGAAGCAAGAACAATGGACGAGAGGCATTTGGGAAGAAAGTGCAGAGAGACACAAGGTCAAGCACTTAAGTTGAGCAAGTAGGCGGGGATACGACGGGAAGAGAAAAAAAATAGTAATGATAGGTGCAATTATGTAGGAGTGCGAAAGGAAGCACTTGAGGAAGGGATAAGCACATGGAGCGTGTGCAAGGGAGAGATTGGAGCATAGGGAGGTCAAGTATGTGCAAAAGAGTGGTGGAGAGCAATAACAATAGCAGCAAAGAACATGAGAACATGTGATAGAGGGTTCAAGCCTAAAGAAGATTGGAGAGTGCTGCACAAAGAAATTAGGTGACCAATTGAGGGTCGGAGAGCTAATGGTAACGACAAGTTCAGAATTTTTTCAATATCATGTTAGAGGGAAATCTCTTGATATATTATTAAATTAAAATATATGAGCCTATAAGTTGTGGTCTCCAAAAAATTGGCCCCAGCCTCCGCCGTTGTGCTTTTTATTCGGGGGAGTTTAACGAAATTAAGTTCCGAGGTAAATTTTGGAAGGCAGATAGGTTTGTAGGTAAGACACTACCTAAAGATTTCGCCCTTATTTTGCGAGAACTTTATGATCCGAGTTCTGGTTTCCAATAGGCGCAAGCCCCGGGCCATCGCCCCGGGCCATCGTGGTCCCTAGTCTACTTAGAGGAGGTAGTCGACCCAACCTGACAGAAGGATCCTTGTCAACAGCCATGGGTTGCTTCGTCCAAGGGAACCTTATAGACCTAAGGTGAATATTTGTTTAAGAGAATAAATTTGAATCCACCTTA